GGGGGGTGGCAGAAGGGTGCAAAACCTGCACGCAAACACTCATTCTGCAAAACTTTGCTCATCTTTCAGAAGGGTTTAGCGAGAGAAATGTTAAACTAAGATGTAAAGACTTCTCAAAATAAAAATTGCCAAGACCAGGCAAAACCTAACAAGGCATCTAACTTCTCTATAAAGTAGAATAATAAAAAAATAGATTACCTTCAAAGAAAACATATTATTCATGGCTTTAGTCATCCATCCAGCAACTATTTTAGATAAAGCGTGTTCAATATACCAACCTTCTAATATACCAACCTTCTAAATAGATCTTCATGACACCCAAATTCAATAAGCACAAGGCCTTCCACCCACAGCAACAGCCATTTCCTCCCTGCTACCTGTTTATCCCAGGACTGAATGCTTAACCCAACTCGGCTGTCAGCAGCGTCGGAACAAGGAATGGCCGCGGTTATCTGCCTGGTGTCGATTCCAAGCAGTCACGGAACAAAAATACACAGGGCTGGAGAAATTAGAACCATCACATACTGCTGATGGGAAACAGCCATTTCCACAAGGCTACCACGCAAATTCCACTCCAAGAATATTTAGTCTCGGATATATACTTAAGAAAAATGAAAACGTATGGCCAAACAGCAGATACCTGCCAAATGCCCACTAATGATTAGATAAATCCTTACACGAGAGTGTTGTTTGGCAACAAAAAGGAGTTGCTTGATAATGTACGCATAATGTGTAGCTGAACCTCGAAAACATTTATGCTAAGTGTCAGCTGGCAATAGTTTCTTACTCCTCTGACAGGAAACAACCAACTACAAAGACAGAACCAGTACTAGAGGGCTGGAGGAATGGGCACTGGTGGCTAAAGGGCACACGGTGAGGAAATGTTCTATAATCAATTTGGCGGTGACTGCACAACTCTCAATGTGCCACTGCCCAGGTTAGTCTATACTCTAAATGGGTGAATTGCACGGAATGTGACTAAAGCTACTAAAAATTACAAAGTCCTTGACATCCGTCGTCACCTACTAGATGGGCTGACCTCTCTCAAGGTACTGTTGAGATCTTCAGCGAATGCTATTGGCCACTTTCTGGAAAAGGGACGAGGCGCATTTGGGCGCATGTTAGGAATCCACTATCACAAACTCATTTTAGAACACCTACCCAGACTCAAGCCTTATGAAGGAAGGTCTCTAAAAATTGGTTTTCCCTGCCTCATGGATTCTTAGCAAAGCCACTTGGCAGCCCATGTCCCAGCGGGGACAAGGAAGCCACACAAAGGTGCTGCTCTGCACAAGAGGACAACCTAGGAACCCCTGTGCCGGAGGTCAGGCCTGGCCATCAGTTCTCATCCCAGGGTTTGTGAGATGCTCTTGTGCTCAGACTCAAGCACTCCTTTAAGGGAGCCTGAAGGGACTTCTATTACATGCCACTTTTATAAAGTCGGCCCAAGGAACTCATTCAGGCCTCAAAGCAACCCACCAGAGTTTAGGTTCCCAAATTTATTTAACCTACCACCCTCTTTTCAGATTAAAAAATGACCCTCTGGCTGTACCCCCCTGGCAATTAAAAACTTTGCTACTATAGGCCATAATTCAGGATAAAGTGTAGGTATCTGTTTTTGTTAGCCCAGCATGGCCCAGGGAGCGGTATCACACCCAACGGGAGACTGTCCGAGGGACAGCATTCAAACTCCCATTCATCAGAGGAAAGAGCTTTGGGGCAGAGGCGCAGTGGCTTACACTGGGGGGCAGAGAACAAACAGAGGTGGGGACCCGTTGCCAGAATCCACGTTCTTGCCACATGGCCCCAACAGCAGTCTGTGGCTGCTCAGGAAGCTCTGGTTGAATGCTGCCGGACAGACGGAAGGAAGGCCTGGGTTACAACTACTTGACGGTGGGAGTTTCTTCTCACCTGCACTGCTAGTGCTCAGAGGTTTCTTCGGTTTATTCAGAGCCGGAGCAACAAGCGAAGGGGCCACCGCCGTCTCCTGACCTTGTCTGGCAGCTACAGGGTCATAGTCTTTGCCATCGTAGTTTGCATCAAAAAACTTCTTGAACCACTGAACAAATTCAAAATTGTCTTGAAACTTCCCTTTTACTAATTTGTCCACGGGAATGATCTGCAGAGAAAAATGAAGACTGTTGAGCCCAAAGCTAAAATGTTTTACAGGCTTCAAATCAGTACAAAACTTACAGGCAGAAGGAAAAAATATCTTTTAAGAAGCAGGAACTAAGCCCCTAGGTATTTATAATGCAAACTTCATCCCATTTGCCTTCCAGAGAGCATTCACACGTAACTATCCATCTGGGGGTCCACCTAATCTATAACCAGGGAAGTACAAAACCAAAGTAAAAGACAAATCACATTATCAATACATGTGTCTCACACACGCGCACGCTGAGAGCTGACGCAGATGTTGTTCCTTGTAAAGAGTAATCCGCTGCCCCGCCACATGTAACTTTCCTGGCCAGTGTCTGCAGCAGAGCATGAAACCAGCACAGGCCTCTGCAATGCATGGTATTAACAGGCAATTCTGTCTTCAACAGAGTGCAGGAAATCAGTGCCAGGATAGAGTTCTACAAAATGTTTTTCATACACAAATTTTGTGAAAGCATACTTGTAAGTATATTTGAAGTTTTTGTTAAATAAAAGAGGTGAACAATGGGCAAGCATGAGAGTGGGGCAGAAGAAAAAGCAAAAAATGTATATATAAAATTTATACATATAGGTATGAATAGATTATAAATATGTAGACTTGCAATTATATAAACATGAGTGTATTTGTCTATTCAGGGACATATATGTAAATACAATAAGGAAGCAGATGGACTTTGGGCCTCTACTAAAATCTCACTTAAGTACAAGAATGGTTTGTTCTAACAATGTAGCACTTTATGATACTCATCTTATGATACTCATCTTCCCGATGTGATCACTGAAGACAAAATGGGTGCATAGGCAAATGTGAAAAAAGCTGATGGTGCCTGGCTATTAAAAAATATAGTGTCTGGAGTCTTAAAGGCTTGTAGTCTCACAAGTAGCCATCAAGCAGGGAAGCAAGAAAGCCCACATGGGTGTCGATGGGAAAAGGTATCAGAAGTTCAAAAGCATGCAATCAAATTGAAGGATGAGGACAAAGTAGAGACCCAAGGCCATCTGCAAGTCAAATGGACAGGCCCTCGCAGAGGAGCCCTGCAGGGGAAGATTCAGGGTATGGTACAGCACTGATGAAACACAGAACTATGCTCTAGTTCTCAGGATTTCCTCCTCTTACTATTAAGGCTTAGATGTCACCTCATCCATACTATTAGATCTACATATATTTATAAGAATAATTAAGATTGTTAGATGCGGGAATGCCTAGATGAATGACCTTTCTGGAACAGCAATGGGAGTAATGATTCCCTGAGAATACGGGTGGGGTGGCTGATAGCAATGATGACTGTATAACCCACTCTGGGGGAGCGAACAACAGAATTGTAGGTGATAGATATATAGGACAGGGTAGATATGGCCATATACATAATAGAACAATAATATTTAACAACAAGGGTTCCTGGGGGGAAAGGTGGGGAGCAAGGGTAAAAATGGAAGCTGATATCGAAGAGTTCAAGAAGAAAGGAAATGTTTTGGAACCGGTTGTAGTAGCAGTTGTACAAGCATGCATGATCAATTTGAATTATGGAATGTTACGACATCTGCTAAAAGCTCCCAATAAAATAATGAACAACAGCAAAAAGAATGTTATATGGGCATGCTTATATACACATATATATAAAACATCTAGGTGGCACAGTTAGATACTTCTTAAAAGTAGCCAAATACCCCGAGACTAGTTGTCTGGATTTGAAGGCTTAGAACATCGTCTCATAGAACACCACAGCCCACAAGGTGTATGTTCTGCATCCCAACGTTGTGAGTTGTGCCAAGAGTCTTAAAAATTCAAGTAGTCAACTAAGACATAGCTATTAGTATCAAAAGAGATTTTTGAAAATTAGCAAATACCTATGAAACCAGTAACAAATTAAACATTAAGATACATACTATTAGTTAGATCTAACCCTGTTGAACAAATAAATGCAATTTCTTGAAAATTATTTTGTATGAACATTTTCAAGTAAAATAACTTGCTTAGAAGTAATTCCAGATGACAGGGGCTGGGTAGCACAGCAGCTGAAACAAAAGTAGCTGTTCTTCCTTCGTCCATAACCTTCAGAAACTTTCCATATTTGAAACAAAATATAATTTCCTTTTTTTAAAATGGCTGCAAGCTATATACCTAGTTCAAACTATGTTTGGCAACTAACTGGTATTCTTACAGTACAAATGCCTATCTTATATATTACGCAAAGTAAATAAACTAAATTTTAAAGTACGTAAAAGCCAGATATAACAAAACACCAATTTATAAACTATCAAGGGCTCATGAGGGAGGGGGGAGCGGGGAGGGAGGGGAAAAATGAGGACCTAATGTCGGGGGTTTAAGTGGAGAGAAAATGTTTTGAGAATGATGTACAAATGCGCTTTACACAATTGATGTGTGTATGGATTGCGATAAGAGTTGTATGAGCCCCTAATAAAATGTTTTAAAAAAAAGCCAGATATACAGCAGCAAGATAATCAGAGAGTGACTAAAAGCTTTAGTGAAAATGTTATCCCCAAAGAATGGCTTCAAAGGATGGCCACTGAGGGGAAATCTGCCTAATTTTGCAATATTACCACCCAAAACAGATGTGACATCTGTCCTAATGAGGTTGGCCTCCTGGAAACTATATACCTTCAAACAGCATTGGAGACAAGGGGGGAAAGTTCCCAGTATCCACCAGAGATCCTCCTCAAACCCCAAATAGCCTTCTCTACTGAAAGTACCTAATCTACATCTAAGGAGCCCTGGTGGCACAGTGGGTTAGAACTGGGCTGCTAACTTCAAGGTCGGTAGTTTGAAACTACCAGCCACTCCATGAGTCTAAGATAAGCTTTCTACTTGCTCCCACAAAGACTTTACTGCCTTGGAACCCCAAAGGGGCGGTGAGTTTGCTCTTTTATTCTACATACAAGGAGCCCTGGTGGCATGGTGGTTACTTGTTAGGCTATGATTCGCAAGGTCCACAGTTCAAAACCACCAAACACTCTGGAGGAGAAAGGCAGGGCACTCTACTCTCATTAAGTCTCAGAAACTCACAGGAGCGGTTCTACACCGTCCCATAGGGTCACTGAGTTGGCATCAACTGGATGGCAGTGGGCTTTGGGGGGCTGGCTGGGGGGAGAGCACTACAGGGTAAGCACAGTATGCTAACCACACAGTTGGTGGTTCAAACCCACCAGCTGTTCTGCAGAAGAAAGATGAAGCTGGCTGCTTCCATAGCCTTAGTATTGGAAAGCCTACATAGGGTCGCTCACGGCCAAATGGACTTGATGGCGGTGTTCTCGTTTGGTGCCACGTTTCACAAAAATAAATGCAGAGATTAAGAGACTAGATCTCAGACCAATGAAAGGCGGCCATAAAATAAATACATAAATCACTTCCCAAAGTGCGCCAACTTCACAGACAATGAAGAAAGGAAGAGGGCGAAGATGTTCTCGGTAAAGCCTGTGCCCGCCAGGGAAAAGATACCTATGTAAACTAGAAATGGGAAAACCCCAGGTCATGGCTAGCATCTGTAGCTTTAATAACAACCAATTAGCTAAGAAACATTAATCTAAATGAAAAGATAAAATGTACTTACTTTGTCAACACCCATCCTCTTAAAACCTGCCTGCAGTATTTTGAAGTTCTGAATGTATTCGTGCTCTAGCTTAGCTTGGAATTTCACTTTCTTCAAGGCAATGGAGCCCGGAAACAGCATGTCCATAAATTGGCAATAAGCAGCTCCTGAATGAACAACGAAGGAAGTCGATTAAAACTTGGTCAGTGCATGCTACTTATTAAAGCAGCAAGATGAACTCTTCCCACACCCACTTAACCCAAGTATGTTTTTAAAAGCTGTAAAACGAACTTACAAAACCCTTAAATTTCATTGCTACCCGACATCAAGTTAAACATGTCCTATGAGTATCATCAAAACAGGGGCCCAACTGCCCAAAGCAAAGACCCGCACATGCCCAGCAGACAAGACAAAGGAAAGGAAGAGTGAGCGCCACAGTGGGGGGCACTCAGCGAAAGGGACACCAAGTCCATGGGAGGATGTGCTGGCCAGCAACAAAGTGCATGCAGGGTCACGAGGGCTCCTATGCACAAGGTCGTTTACGCTATGCGGTCCCTACCACATCAAGCCCTCCTCCATGATAGCGGTGCCATCGGCTACTCCCACCTGCTGTGTAACTGAAACACCTTGTCGACAATGCTCTAGCTGATAAACGAGGTGGGAGTGGGCTGTGGAATCTAACTCTTGCCATAAGTCACCCAACATGCAACTGGGTACACCAGGAGCAGCTCACTAGTCCTCGACCCACTGGGAGCTAACTGTCTTGTACATCCACATCTGCTGACCCCGCAACTCCTGTGTGGCAGTCGCCTAATCTGGAGTCAATTTAAAGATTAAGAGTGGAGGGGTGGAGCCTCGACTGTTAATCTGGAGACAGCCAATGAGACTTTTGTGTGGGCATGGCCTTCTGAGAGTTCTGGGAAATCTGGTACCTCCTCCTCGGAGGCGGAGGACACCTCTCTCACTGCTACTCCCTGGGAGACATTGCAGAAGACAAGCCACATGGATGCAATCAGACCTCTGAAGCCAGAGAAGCCACAGAGACCCCTGCCAGCGCTGAGATGTTTACAACGCTACAGGACCCAAAGACTTCCTACCCACTGGCTTGTGATCATCCTGCACTTGGCTTCAATGCATGCTTTTCTTGGGTCTGAAGAGGACTTTATAGATTGATATCAGACATATGGGCTAATATCAGACTTACGGACTTGATCTGGGATGTTTTCTCAATCTTCAATTGCTCTTGTATATAAACTTCTCCTTTATATACATATGCATGTTTATGAATTTGGTTCTCTAGTCTACCCAGACTAACACATCCTGCCAAGAGAGCCAGCAATGCTCCTTGCCATGACGTAAACCCAAGGTTCTTGTGTAGGTCCTGGTACATAACCAGTGAGGCGCCCAGTCCCTCAGAGCCCGCAAAAGCAATGGAGGAGGAGTAAGTTGACCATTGCATCATGAATTCATGTAAATGTCTTTTTAGCTGTCTAGCACTTAAACACCATTGTGTCCTAATTCTGTAAACTACTTTTATAACCTTAACTTTAAAATGTGCTTGGAATACACACAGATGCAGTCTAGCACACATCTAGTATGATTCTTAACATGGCTAATTATTTAACATACTAACATAGCAAACCTCCAAAAATACTGAAATTATCTGTCTACCATAAAAAGTTTTACAAGTCAGGTTCTTTCGAATTGTTGTTGCATAGGGTACAGTACTTGAGTACTATTGCAAGGTGAAAACACACGAGATCTGCAAAGGCCCCACCAACACATACCACACCAGAACTGAATGCAATCATTGCCAAGTGTCTTTTCCCTCAGACCTGAAGAACAAAACAATGTGTTTGAGGTAAATATTCTTGTTTTAAAATAAATTCTCTTTCTTTCCAGTTATTCAAATTTATTTCCTACAGTAGATCCAAATTTTCAGTGTTTATATTCAGGTAAAACTGAAATGAGAGAGCAACACCTGGAGTCTGTTCGAGAACCCTCCCTCAGATTGCGCTCCCTGCCTGCCGTTGCTGGGTGTCACTGAGGCGGTCCTGACTCAGTGCACCATCCTCATCATCACTGTTAGGGTTCAGCCACTATTACACCCACTGTGTCAATTCCATTTCCTCTTTTTCTCTGCCCCTCTACCAAGCATGACATGCTCTCCTGATAACACACCCAAAGGTTACAGTTCAGCTCTAGTGGACTTGGTTCAATTTTGAGTCTCAACCTAAACACGCATGTGCACAATCGATAGTTCTTCCAGTCAGCCCGTGGAAGAGGTGTCGGCTGATGATTTGAGCTTCTCTCGTCTCTTCCACAGATACAGTCGCTTTGGTTCCCAGGTACTCCATTTGGCGACATCCCATAACTAGTCACTGTTTATGTTGCTAAATAAAAGTACTTGGGGGGGGGGGAGCAGGGAGGGAGGGGAAAATGAGGACCTAATGTGGGGGTTTAAGTGGAGAGAAAATGTTTTGAGAATGATGTACAAATGCGCTTTACACAATTGATGTGTGTATGGATTGCGATAACAGTTGTATGAGCCCCTAATAAAATGTTTAACAAAAAAAGTACTTCATAGAGGTCCAAGTTGTTAGTCGTCCAAAATTCAATCTCCAGTTTTGTTTCTATCCCCTAAGCCATATTTTCCAACTGTTCCTGTTTCCAATTTTATTTCATTTGCCAATAATAATCAATGCATCTTGATTATGTTTGATCGATTCCTTTAATAAAGGAAGTTATTAAAGAAGTTGGTAGAATTCTTCAGTCTTCATCATTAGCTTTAGTGGTTAGTGTGTAAATGTGAGCAATAGCTTAATAACTAGTCTGGTCTCCTTGCAGGCATATAGATATTGTTCCATCACAGACAGCATTGCATTTCAAGAAGGGTCTTTAAATGTTCTTCTGGACAATGAACACGATTCCATTCCTCTTGAATTTATCATCTCCAGCATAGTGAACCATTTGATTATCTGATTCAAAATGGCCAATCCCAGCCCATTCAGCTCACTAATGCCTGGGATACTGAGCTTTATGGGTTCCCTTTCATTTGATGATCTCCAATTTCCCAGACTCATACTTTGAACCTTCCACATGCTGCTTGTGAATGCTATTTGCAATTGGTTCTTCTCATTGAGTCATGCTCCGACAGCAAATGAAGGTCCCCAAAGCTTTACCCCATCCATGTCATTAAGGCAAGCTCTTCCCCCAACTGTATTGTTCAGTGTCTTCCAACCTGAGGGGGTTTCCTCTTTGTGCACTGTTTGACAATGCTCTGCTGCTATCGTGTTTCCAGTGGCTAATCCTTCAGAAGTGGACACATTTCTTAGTAGTGTTTAGTCTGGAAATTCAACTGAAATCTATTCACCATGGGTGACCCTACCAGTATTTGAAATATTGGTGTTAGAGCGTCCAGCATCACAGCTACATGCAAGCCACCTCAATAGTCAACATCAAAGCGGACTATTTGAAAACTTACGTCAAAAATTTGTTTGGTAGACAAACAAGGTTCTGTGGCCAAGATTATGTCTAGGATGCAAAGATGATTTAAAGTTATTAAAGGAAGTGGCTACCGTATTCTCCATCAACAGGCTCTATACAAACTATTTAATCCTCTATCATTTAATTCTCAACTTGCTACAGATAGATCTAGCAACTGGCCTAACTTGAATACGACTGATCAGCCCGAGGATGGCTTCATTCAGACTATAGTCAGATTTAAAGTGATGATACAGATTTGGCTTAACCCAACTGAAAACACAATGAAGAAAGTCAGTACTGTTAAGTCTTTCTGCAATGTTGTTGCTGCCATTATAGTAATAATTGAACTTGGACTATCCTTTCAAGTTAGAAATAAAAACATTTGGATCCCATAGAATGGAAGTTTTTTTGTTTTGTTTTTTTAATTCTTGAACTTGTTGCTCAATGTAACCCATTTTCTAGCAGGTCACATCTCAAGATCCTGAAAGGGCAAAGCACTGCGTGGGTCCAAATCAACAGGGTATAATCAACAAGTGATCAATTTGATCAATCATTTTCCATGTAAGTATACAGCTCGATGACTTCAGTTTATAGATTGTATTCCTGATCTTTCTCATACAGATCATTAAGTATTGCTTTAAGACACGTCTCCCCAACAGTGGAATACCTGTGGAGTGATTTAACATAATCAGTTAGTTTTAAAAGTCATACACCAGTGAAAAACTTCAAATATAATACTTCACTGTTTATCTGAAGTTTGCAAAAATTTTTAAGGGCAAAAGTCAGTCTCATATGTCAATGTCGCCAATATGTCAAGGTGTCAGAAAGACATTCAACCAAAAAGGTCAGAATACAATGAATATGCCATTTTCACTCCATGTGCTACACACTTACTTAATCTCATAGGACGTAGTACAGTAGATAGTTGACAGGAAGCAATCTATATCTCCCCTCATCCCCCCGCCCCCCCCAGTATTGAGTTACTCTATACAGTTTTTGCCAAATGATGGGCAGTTCTTAAAACACATTTGGGCAATGATTGCATATTAAAATGTCTGATACTTAACACTCTTTGGGAAAGGCATGCAATCCTGGAATAGGATAATCACACTCCCGGTGCCCTAGAAAAACACTGCTGAAGACCAGACACAAAAGGACACCAAAAGAAAAGCTGAAAAAATGCCCAATGAGATGAAATCGGTACATTAGATACATGATCTATGTTGGTTATGCATTTTCATCAGACAAGTCAAGCTCTCCAAGATCCAGAAGTAAACACAGAAAGACATGCAGAGATCCAGCAGTCATTTTACAGGACATTTGTAAACCTGAAGAGAAAATGGTAAAATCACAAGACTGTCAAATACTGATTATTAAGCGGGTCACCGCTGCATACACAGAAGAAGTAAGAAATTAACAGTACAGTGCTCCAGGAAGTACTGAATGCCAAAGGTCAATTAGATCAATTCCACATAACCACCTACAACACCATCATTGACAGACTGGAGTCCTGCGGGAAAAGAAGGGGGAAAGTGTATGAAGTTCTTACAGAACAGGTTTTCCTTCTTAAGCAATGAAGTATGCATGAAGGAATCCAAGAAACTAGTCCTGATGATTTACAGGCAAATCTTTTAAGGAGAAATGACCATTTTATCTTACATGAAAACAAAGTTTACAGACT